CTGGCACCCGCTCGGCGGGTACACCTCGGGGTTGTTGACTTGGCCATCGTCGGCGACGTCGATCGAGCCCGAGTGCGACCCGCTCGTCGTGCCGTCGGCAATCGAGCGCTCTTTGGCGAGGCGCTTCTGCACGTCGGTCGTCCGCGCTTGCGCCTGGCCGTGAAAGTACCGCGCCAAGAGCACGATGGCTGCAACCGAGCCGCCAATCATGACGAGCAAGAGCAGCACGCCGGGCCAGCGCTACGCACCTCGACATGAGAAGAGGCTTCCAATAATATGGAACGTACGCGGATGCGGCCCTTGAAGGCCTTGGGCGGGATGGGCACCGCGTGGTCGACGGGCGCTGCCACGATATCGCGGTCGAGGATCGAGCTGCGCGTGAAGCCGTCGACGCCGCCGGCCGACGAGGCGCCGGGCTGGCTGTACGAGAAGCTGCTGCGCCGCTCGTCGGTCTCGCTCATGCGGTCGTAGCCGTCGCTGGCCATGGTCGGAGCGAATGGAAAAATGCTACACGTTCGAGTTGGCGGCCGCCGTAACCGTCGCCGTTTATCCGGATCACATTCCCTTAGATGAGACATGCGACGCGGGATTGGCGTCGTGGAACGTAACGGTTTGTTCGACGAGGTACTGTTTAGGCGAATTACCGTGCGCTTCGAATGGCCCGACTCGTTCGATGCACTGCACGCGCTCGTTCGACGGTCGTCGATGTAGATTGTAGTAGCTTGTCGTAGGAACGAACCGATATTGTCTACTAGTACGTACTAAACGCTTGTAAAAGTCTATTGAATGGAGATATTGAGGGATCCACCGATGACTATGGTGTCATCGCCACCTTCTTTGAACGTGGCGCCGAGATTCGCATCTCGGAAGACGGATGCCCACCCGGTGCTGATGGGCGTGAAATTTGAAATTTTATCGCTGGACCAGCTATCAGAAAAAGGCTTCCACCACGGCAGGATCTGCTGCCGACTCGGAATCTGACGAGCGGCGCAGATTTATTTGTTGCTGCGCGTCGACAGCGCACTAGACAAATGAAACACTCGGGTGCATCCGGATCGAACATTTGAGATGCAACTTTCGTATAGCCGCGTACGTGTGCCCTTCACAGCATCCGGATACATACCCCATTTTCGTTGTCGTTGGAAGCTTCAACAACGGACCGTGGCGAGCTTGTGGGGCCCCTTTCTGTAGTTTACTTGGTCGATGTACTCGTCGTTTTGTCCGTCCACGCGCCGCGCCGTAGCTATGGCCCGCTTGTGTGACAGCAAGCACCAAAAAGGCTTGTGCTCTGGCGTAAAAAGAGCGTGCGCATGGTGTTGATCTCGCAACCTTGATCATGCGCTCCCTGGCGCCACTCGCGTTTTCCGCTGCAAGTACCGGCAGCGCTGTCACGCTATGATATGCCGTTTATAGTGTTGTGCCGCTGGAAAACACAATGTATAGTGTCCATCACCGCAGAACGTCCAGGGCAACGAATTTCAACTTTCTTCGCTGCTAATTGGTCGAAAAGGATTCCTCGCGAGCTCGTATTCGTCAAAATGTGACCAATCACCGCTGCTGCCCGCATGGCCGCCTCACGTCGACATGTCCGGACGGTTCCGGATACCATTCCAGGATGGTCACGATGTCGATGGTCCATCATGGGGGACGTTCGGTGGCCTCCTTTATTGAGTTGAGATTCTTTTTTACCCCTATATTTTGTATATTCTACGAAACCTGTATAAATAGATCTGGAAAAATGGCTGGATCTCAAACCGAGTTCAGGTTTCTCGTCGAGAATCTCAAGTCGAATTTAGGGTTGAGGGAGTGTCCGGATGACGCATTCGGATGACATTTTCAAAAATGGAGTCTGTCCCCGCCATCGAGCCTCGAACCGAGGTGGCGCCCGAGGAGGTAGCCACGGGCTCCAATGCCAGCAAGTTTGCCTGCAAGCACGACATCGTCATGCTCCGATCTGTCGGGTTGCTTGAGCCTTGGGCGGCGGCCCACGGTGCAGTGATGTCCACGTGGGAAGCGATCGCCGAGTCGCTCGCCGACGCAAGCGACTTTGGCCTCAAGAACAAGAAGGGCCCAGCACTCAAGACGCGCTTTGAGAGCATCATGAACAAGTTCAAGAAGAGCGAATTCCAGAGCCTACGCAAGTCCGGGACGGTCGAGGAGTACGAAGAGCGCGAGCAACTCCTTACAGACATCAAGGCCCGCATGGACGACTACACGGCGAACGCGACCGTTCGCAAGGACGCAGAGAAGAAGAAGCAAGAAGGCATTGAGGGCTCTGGTGTTTTGATGCGTCGACTTGCTATGGCTCCTCTCGCGCCACCAAGGGCGGAATTGACGGCCGACTCGGATGCTTCGGCTTCGTCTTCCGTGACAGCTGAGGCGGCGTCGGAGTCATCGGGGTCATCGGGGTCGACGGAAGGCCCCGCGGCCCCTGGTGAGGCATCGACACCCCCACCCAAGCGGTTGAAGAAGCGCAAGACCATCGCGAAGGACGACTACATCACAGGTCTCATGACTGCGATCCAGTCGGCCATCGGCGAGTGGCGCTCACGCGACGAGGCCAGCTCAAAGCGAGCGCAAGAAGAGCTCCAATTGCAACGCGAACGTCTGGATCACGACCGCACGGTTGCCCGGATGCTGGCGGAACAAAATGCGCAGAACCAGCAGATTATCATGACTCTTCTCCAAAAGCTTGCGGATAAGTAAAGTCATTCAATGTAAATGCAGTTAGCCTCCCTGTTGTTACTCAATTATCAATCAAGCGGGAGGTACGTGTCGATCGAAGGAGGGTTCACATCGAAGGAGTTGGAGATCTGGTTGCCCGTCGGCTTGAGGCACGCATTGCAATTCGTCAGTAGCTCCATCATGTCGAGCACCTATTTCGAAATTTCGAGATGCTCGGAATCTAAATCTCAACTCGAAAAATAGGGCCACCGAAAGTCCCAAATTGCACGAGCGTCCAAGCGAACGAATTTCAACTTTTTTCGCTGCTAATTGGTCGAAAAGGAATCCTTTTCGATCAATTGGCAGCGAAGAAAGTTGAAATTCGTTGGCTCGTGCGATGATGGAGCATCGACATCGTGAGAACACTATAACATCTCTGGTGCAGCCAAGTCATGGAGACAATCCACCAGACGCGCGCCGCCTTGACGGCAATCGTCCATGGACTTGGCGCGAAAGACGCGATCGTTGCGGACGGGCCAGACGTGAACGCTGCATATGG